AGGATTCGTGAGAGTTAGATCATACAAATCAAATTAGTGAGGCTAAGACCCGAGCTAGTTCAAAATCGAGGGAGCGAGGCTAATTACCAAGTGAACTCATGTATCGTGAGAGAGTTAGGCTAATAACCAAGTCGATCACACCTATCAGTCGAGGGCGAGCTGTGGCGAGGCTTTGTTCGAGGCAAGCGAGCGAGACAAAACACACGATCCTTCATCACCGCGCGCCCGCGCGCAGCCCAGCAGTTCCTGCGCGTAGCCCGCAGCTAGCCAATGCACTCGCGCAGCAGCGCGCCCAGCAGCGCTGGCAGCGCGACAGTCCACCTTCTTGAGCCATTTCTTGATAGTTTCGACCCACTTCTTTCATGACCTAAAAACAACATTTATTAAGGACTTAATGAGGATCATTTTAAGCTAGGATGACCCTAAGAAATGTTTAAGAAAAGTTAATTTGTCCTTAGCTAAAGTGGGTGCATGTGCATGCATTATTTTAATGCACATGTGTAAGTCTTGCCCCCTTGTCCTTAGTGTTGCTATACCAGACCTTGTTCCCAGCCAAAAGGCTCTCAAAACCATGCTAGATTCGTGCTAAGTCAGTCCAAGACCACCCACACCAAGTTTCCATGCACCTAAGACTTTGAAATTTGTCTTCTTTAAGCCCTCCTTGCAACCTTCGCCCCCTAGCCATATAAACCTCATTTCTCAGCTCCTACTAAGCTCTTAGACAACCTAAATCTCAGCAAAATAGAGAGAAGTGAGGAGAAGTGCCAAGATCAACCTATCTTGCACCACACTCGGTGAAGGTTAGCTCATGCTATCTTTTTATCCTAGCTATAACATGATATTTTAAGATTTATCATGTAAAGAAATCAAGTTTTGCTCGGGTAGAATGAGAGATTCGGATTTTTGAAGCATAAAGCCTTAAAATCATATTTTTCGTTGCATGCATGTTTAGGCCGAGTTCTTAAGCTTAAAAATCCTTATAAATCATGAGTAATATGGGGTTAAAACAGTTTCTTAAAATAAGTAAGGGTGCTCGGTCATCTAGAGCTCAATTTTTCGAGGAAATAAGCCTCCTAGCCACATTAGTATGAATGCAAGTATAAGCCATCATTTTAACCTCATTAACCATGTTTTATGTTGCTTATAACTCGACAATAGTCATTTGTGCAAGTTTTAGAAGTTGGTCCGGTGACCTTGGTGCCCGAACGTGCCTTATCGGCCCTACCGGGCTACATGCATTTTGACCCGAGGTCTCCTAGTGTTTCTTTGCATTTTTATGTCTTTTTCACCATAATAAGTTGATAT